GGTCAAGAAGCTGAAGCGCTGCTTCAATTGCTTAAGCGCCTCACATTCCGCCACGGAATGTAAGAGCAAATTTTCTTGTCGCACTTGCAGTAAGCGACATCATTCGATGCTGCACGCGGATTCGGATTCTGAGACCGACCAGTTGGCTCCGCCAGCCAACGAACCATCGCCCACCTCGCCGTCGCCTACCGTGGCGGTCAATTCATTGCTTGCGGCCTCGACTTCGCGCCCGCGATCGCAGGTCCTCCTCGCCACCGCGCGCGTCAGGGTGGAGGGCGACTCGGGTCGTTGCGTGGTCGCGCGTGCTCTGATCGATCAGGGCTCCGAGGCCACCTTCATCTCCGAAGGCTTGGCTCAAACCTTGCGAACTCGCCGAATTCGACGGCCTGTCTCGATTTCAGCAGTGGGGGGTGCTCAAGTCGGCACGGTGCGACATGCCGCTCAGATAACGGTGAGCCCCGTCGCTACCGCGAATCCGTCGTTTTCGACGACGGCGCTCATTCTCCCGTCGCTTACGTCCTACGCTCCTCGCCGAGTGTCGACGATGTCGGCATTCTCTCACCTCTCTGACTTGCCGTGGGCGGATCCGCATCCGACCTGCTCTGATCCCATCCAAGTCATCATTGGCGCTGACCTCTACAGCGACCTTATTCTTAGTGGTATTCGGAAGGGAAACTCCGGCCAGCCAATCGCGCAAAACTCCGTCTTCGGGTGGATAATTTCCGGCCCGCTTCCCGCGGTAGCGGAACACGTGCCTTCACACACTTCGGTGCAACTCTGTACCTTCGATGTCTCTCTGTCGGAGGATCTCCAGCGATTTTGGGAGATCGAGGAGCTTCCCCCTTCTCAGATCCTCTCGCCTCAGGATGAGCAGTGCGAGAATCATTTCCGCGAGACCCATTCTCGAGACGACCGCGGTCGATACGTCGTTCGTTTGCCCTTCAAGGCGCCTCCTCCTATCGATATCGGGCGTTCTAAGCAATCTGCCGATCGAATGCTGCAATCCCTGCTCCATCGTTTCAAATCGCAGCCGGAATTGGAGAGCGATTATCGGGACTTCATGCGCGAATATGAACGCCTCGAGCACATGCGGCCGATCTCGGAAACGCCTTGCTCCCGAAGCCAAGCGGTGTACATCCCGCATCATCCGGTCTTTCGCGCCGA